GTGACCTTTGATTTTTGAATGTTATTTTACAAGTTTGTTAATTTTGAAAATGGATTCTTAAACATTTTTCGATGAGAAATTTTCCCATATTATTATGTTATTATCTTGATCGATTTTTTCTCAACTTATTTGTTGGAGAAACCAACGCTTCCAAAATAAACCCAACATCAAGAAAGTTCAAACATTCCTCCACTAGTACTTCTAATCAGTGAGAAAAAATTACCACTTCTAATCAGTGAGAAAAAATTACCACTTCTCAAAATTAGATACATCGACTATTGATATATTCTTGCAGTTTGAAACTATACAAAATTACCACTTGATTGAAGAGCATAAGAAGACATGGAAGGTGACTCGAAGTAAGGGTGAAAAGTATAGAGGCCAAAAGGTCTGATCAGCGGGATATTGAATTCATTAATTCGCCTTGCTTTCTGTGTTATAGAGAAAGATGGTTTCACGCATATTGAAAAGCAGATTCAACGTGCTGAAGGCTATCATATGCAAGTTGTAGTTATCTTGCATACATGCCCGCAAATTACATAGGGAAACTAAATTCACTAGGCTCCTGGTGCAAGGGCGTCTGTAACCATATTCACCCTTCGGAAGCATCAAAATTATCATGATCTGCAGAGCGGTCTCTCCATACCATAATAGCCCATCACTTGATCTTGAAATAACAGAGGAACCCCACATTGCTTCAGCACGTCACTTTTCAATTAGTTGGAGATAGTTCTCTCCTCTTGTGTCGTTTGGGTCATATATGGCAATGAAAATTCTGGATTCTGATCAACGAATAATACCATTAAGCACAGTCGAATCACCAAACGACGTCCCTAAACAAATATCATCTGCAGTGAAAAGTTTTGATTGTTTCCACTTCTTCGTCTTCGAGGAGTTAGTTTCAATCATCAATTCCTTGTCCATTAGATTTGGTTTGTAAATCTGCAGAACTTTATAATTTGCCACCAACTGGGCTGTATTTTCTTCGCAGGCCAGTGCCACCGCTATGCAATGTTTTTCATTGGGAGGAGATGGCAGGGGCAGCCACTTTTCCATCAAAGGATTTACAACATGGTAAGTCATGG